AAAAAAAAGAAAAGTTCTGTATTATTGGAGACTATAGATAGAAAATAAACTTTAATTTATTTTTAATTTCATTGCTTTTCAAAACCTTGCCTTGTCACTCATAAAAGGAGAGAAATTCTTAGGTTAATGAGAATTTGGCTCTGAAGCCTAACTACGTACCTCCAAAAATAGCTCCTTTCCAGGTGCGTCCGGTCAGTAGCAGCACAGGGTTTATTGAGAGGTTCTGGGAATCAGGAGGTACCCCTACGATGACACTTGTGCCACATGCCTCATGACAACATAACAGGGAAGCCATCTGGAATAAAGTGAATATTTAGCATCCTTAATGTGGAGTGGCATAGTTCCTACTCATAATGCACAATATCATGTAATAGGCTTAGCTGGATTGTGACTGTGTAGAGGGAAGAGATCATGTCTTTGCTCCTTCATTCCCCCTTTCTTTGTATAGGATAGTGCTGTGGATGTAGGAAATACCCAGAAAATGGTTTTTGAATGAAAGCATGGATGAATAAACTGGTGTGCACTTAGTTCTTCCTAATAAAGGAATAAAGAGGTAAACATCATTACAAACATTTTAAGTCCTGTTCCTTGTACAAGTGTACATCATTCTTAGGCAATCTGTGAGTTGGTTCATTTTTCATTGATTTATTTCTTAGGTATTTTGAACCCAATACTTTCAATCAGATATTTTGATGGTGAACAAGATAAATGAGTATATCACCAAAATTAGTCTCTTGTCCACTTGATAGACTTCCTTTTTAACAGATTCCTATTTTACTGTCCATTTCTCAAGTGGACATGTTTTAAACAATGTTTTTACCTCCCCAAATGTATATTGGTTTTACATTAAATTACATTGATTATTTGGGAACCTCAAAAGACAGTTCAGAATATCTTTTCCAGTCAGCTTTTGGAACATGTTCTGTAGTTAGAAAATGGTTTAGGATCCCTCTAGGTATATAATGATTAGTTCTTTGATTTTGGATTCTGACCTTTGGGAGACCACACATCCTCAGAACATGTGGCTGTCAGACATTTGGTGTCCTGAGATAAGGTACACTCCAGTACCACATGAGAAAATGGAGAGAGATATAGAAAAAGAGCACAAGGAGAAAAGCTATAGACCTGGAAAACACTGGATTCTCTTGACACTTTATTCCTCTGTGGCATTTGTTCCAGGTCAAGGCTGGTGGGAACTTTGATCTCAGGGTGCTGCTCCCTGTTACCCACACTGCTGAACCTTCTAGAAAACCTCAGCAATGGAAACTTGTTGGTTTCTGGAGACTTTTTCAGTAGGATTCTAGATAATTCTGGGTAGGTAAAATATAGCTAGAAATGTGTTTCCCATTGCCGTTGGTATTTGTAACTGTTTGAAAGTAATATAATAATTCAAAGATGATGTAAGCACTGCAAGATTGGAAATAGTATTTCATATCAATAATGCCAACTGAGGCTCAGCATGGTTGCTCATGTCTATACTCAGCATTTTAGGAGGCTGAGGTAGGTGACTCGCTTAAGCCCAGGAGGTTAGGGCTGCAGCGAGCTATGAAAATATCACTGCACTCCAGCCTGGGTGACAGAGTGACACCCTGCCTCAAAAAAAAAAAAAAAAAAGCGGGAGTTGGGGGGCAGCTGACACTTATTGGGGGCTTACCACATGATGGGTTGTACTGTGCAAAGTATTTTACATGCATTGTCTCATGTGTTTCATAAAAGATGCCATGAGATACGTAGCACTTAACTTTTGCAGGTGGTAAAATCTGTTGACTTTTTAAAGTATTCAGTCCAAGTAGTATTGGGTACTAGTTTTGTGCCAGGCACTGTCCAGTTTCTGTGATAAAATATAGCAATGCATTAAAGCATTGACTTTCTTTAGGGCATATTTTCTGTTAATAAGATAATAGTTGGTCTAAAATTGCTCATTTCTTTTGACCGAAGAATACTATGTAAAAAAGTTTGTAATTCATTAAGAGCATATACAAAATTGTTAAAATATTTTTGTTAAGAGTATTAAAAAAACCTTTTTAACTTTTAATTTGAGAAGAGGATTTGTATTATTTATATATAAGTTTGCATTTTAAACTAAAAATTAATAAAGTATATCTGTAGTGACTATGTTAAGAAAAGCCCTTTATCTTTTCTCAAGATGAAATATGACTTGAGACAAGTTTGCTTAGCTGATCAAATGGAAGATTTCTCATAACAATAAATTAAATAAGCCGGGCAACAAAAAGATGATGGGAAATTTCCATCCATAATTAACAATATCCTTTATACATAATATGTATATTCTACTGCCTAAATGCATCCTCCAGGTTGCAGAGGCAGAAATCTCAGGGCATGTCATGGTACATACCATGGTGTCAAGCCGACCGATGACTTCAAACGAAAAATCCACACCTCCATCAGTCATTTCCTTTAGCACCTCCTGAATGGGTTTCTTGTAGTCTTGAGGGTTGATGCATTCAGTAGCACCCAACTCTTTGGCCTTTGCAAATTTGTCCTTGTTGATGTCCACCGCAATGATTCTGGCTGCTCCAGCTGCTTTACAGCCCATAACAGCAGAGAGGCCGACCCCTCCCAGGCCAAACACAGCACAGGTAGAGCCTGGAGTGACCTATGTTTTCAGAAAATGCAAAAATGAATTATGTTTGTTAGAAATTGCTTAAGCTTTATAAAGTGCCATGTCTTGTGTGTTAACAAGAGCTACTCAGACTCTTCTGTCCAATATGTTATCGAAACCTATTTTGGCTTGAGATGCTTCATGTTTAAATTCAAGGGGATGAACTAGTTGAGTGGTTCTGAAACTGCTGCGTATTAAATTCATCTGGGGAGCTTTAAAAATATCCCGCAGTCCAGATCATAGACCATGCCAATTAAATGAGAATCTCTGCAGGTGGAACTCAGTCCCCAGGGGACTCCAATGGGTCAGGCTGGGAACAGGAGGACTGGATGATCTTTGAGATCCAGATGGCAGTGATTACAATCTTGTAGGGACTGTCGATTGCTGAAATCCCTTAATAACCAGCTTCAGTATCTCATACATACACCAAGGCAATATTTGGAAAATAAAATAAGTGGAAAAGGCTACACCAGGAGACCAAAAAATATTCCACTTAAACTCTCAATAGTTAACTCTTTTGTACATTATTGTTCAGTAGTCGTGACCAGTATATCCCTGCTTTAAAAAATGTACTTGTGAACAACACAGCAATGAAACATTAGTCTATATTTAATAATAAATAAAATCTATTTTTTAATTTTACATTAAGTTCTAGGGTACATGTGCACAACGTGCAGGTTTGTTACATATGTATACATGTGCCATGTTGGTATGCTGCACCCATTAACTCATCATTTACATTAGGTATATCTCCTAATGCTATACCTCCTCCCTACCCCCTCCCCACAATAGGACCCAGTGTGTGATGCTCCCCTTCCTGTGTCCAAG